TTGGAGCTGGAGCACTAATGATGAAACCAAGGTCCTGTAGGTTTTTAGGTGGCACACGAGTAGTGCACAGCCTTTCATGGTGCTTAATGTATGTGGTGTGTGAGCAAGACAACCCTCTACAGCCTAATTAATTTCTAACAAACTGGAAACATCTACATTCTTCTTCCAGTGGTAATAGAGCTTTTTATTATTATTGTTTAGAAATGAGTACAACTTTGAGTTTCATTAAAACCAAATGTTTAATTGCATTCATGGATATCAGATTTATTGATTTACTTCAACTTTCCCGTCCAGTACAGCAGAATAATATATAACAGTTTCATATAATGCTGTCCAAGCCAAGTTTTGCTTCAGCATCACAATTTCTCAGACAAGTATGTGTTGATGGTTTATGTTGGCAGGGCCTTCGCTTCTGCTGACAAGCTGGAAAAGAAAAATCCCATTTATATTTTGAGATTTCCTAAAGCCTGTTGATTTATGAAATACGACTGGCCTTGCATTAGGGTTTGGTTTGGTTTTTTCCTTTTTAAGGGACAAAAAAAAATTCACATTTGACTTTATCGACAGTTTAAGTAGTGGAATTATTCCATCAAATTGCATTTCCCTCATGGAGAGATTCCTGGCAAGCTAAACAGCAATTAATAGCAAATTAATGATTTAAATTATGTTTTCATTTCGTTTTCTTTGAGATGGAGAGTTCTGCCATCATAGAGCATCTCCTACACACATTCCCCCTGTGTCCATATGGCATATAATGGAGTACAGTAGGCAAATACCAATGAGTTGCTTGTGTTTAGAGCTGATTAACAGCAATGTGGATGTGGTTAATTTGGTGCTGATCACCAGACATGAGCAGGATTCAAACCCTGTTGAGAGGTAGAGTAAAATATGAGCTCAGGCTCAAGACCACACTGAAGCTGCTTCCAGTTGGCTTGGGGCCTGTGAACTGATGTCTGGACATGCTGTATGGTATAGATATAATTATTTTTACTCCTTCTCTGCTCCCAGTGATGAAAAAGACAGCTCAGGAGTTTTAGAGAAAATTTTAATTGTCTCTTTTCTTTCCTGCCCAGCTCATTTGCAAGATCTTTGTGACTTCCTAGTGTCAGTATGGTTTGAGACTGGGGAAAAAGCAGATGCCATGAATTAGAGACCTGGAGAGCAAAATATGTATTCTTTATATTGAAATTTTTCCCAAATACTTATAAGCTCAGGAATTCTGGTAGTCTTTAGCCTGATAGATGTACCAGTAGAAAACCCATAGATTTTAGTAGAAGTTGGTTTTAAATAGCCACTTTTCAAGTACTCGCAGAGTTGTTGAAACCCCTTTGGGGTTTCTTGTATCACTTTTGGTTTGGGATCTGTAGTTTAATATATTGTCAATTTGCCACACTGGAAAACACATTATTTAACATTAATGCCTCCTGAAAAATGGAAAAGTTGGACCATTTGGTTCTTTGGGGACTGACTCAGGAGTGTGGGAGAACCATGCTCATAGGAAGACATAGAAAAGCTGTGGGAGTAACAGAGGGGTTTTTGAAACACCTGACAAAAGTGGAAGGAAAAAGTAGTTCTGTATTTATTTTATTTGCATCAGATTCTTAGTCCTGAGTGACTGGTAGGTACTGTTCATCTAATCCTACCACACCAAAAAAAAGAGGAAGGAACTGTAGCTTTTGATGGGTTACATTTTTAAGGTGCTGTGCTTGGCACTGATCAACGGGGGGAAAATGCTATTGTAGGAAAAGAAAATGAGTCAAAAACAGAGAGCTGGCCAAGAAAATTCATATTTGATACTCATTATCTTATTACAGAGGATCCCAAGCCAAGTGCTGATATCCTGTAGGCAGCACTCAAAGGATAAGTGTGCATTAAATGAGAAGTATATTTTCCTTTATGCCCAATCTGCAGATATTTTTTACCATGGATTGCTCCATGTGCAAGGTGGAACTGTTCTTAAAGGCTCATGCTGTCACTTGGGATGGGAGTCTCAGTGACAAGCTGAACAGGCTGCCCTGACTCTGGCGTGCTCACTAGAAACCAAAATTACTCACTCTGGTATCTGATCATTTCTCCATATCCTCTGCAGCTTAAGAAAATGAGGGGTAAAAAAAAGAAATGGTTATTTAGTTATTTTCAACAGTAGCTGGGCATACAAGGGGTACATTGGAAACCTGGCAGTGATGTGGCATGTTTCAGCTATGAACTCGTCACAAAAAGATGCTGGCTTTAAAAAAAAAATATAACTTTACCCATTAAAAGGATACTGCTAAGTCTCTCCCTTTCTAGTGTTAAATAATTAAAGAAAACCATTTAAGTGTGTATTTTTAAAGTTAATGTTCTAAGCAGGGTAAAGTTTAACATTAAAAATAAAAGCCTTTGTGGTTTTATGGGGGTTTTGAGTTGCTGGGAAAGGGAGATGGTCAAGCTGGCCCATTTCAAGCAGTGACTAATAGTCTTCTGCCTCCATTGCTGGTTCCAGCTGCCTCCAAAATGAGATGATGAATTGCAAAAGGGAAAGGCAACAATCCTTATTTGATTGTGCTGATTACAGCCTTGCTGATTATCATAGTAAAGGGAATATGTTGTCCTGGTTTCCTAAATTCTTCAAGGAATAAGGCAGAGCTGAAAATAATTTAGAACAGTAGGGTTTAAGGTTACTCAAATCATGGGGTGACCTGCTTGGAGGTCTCTCATATGTCATGCATGCTGTGGTGGATCCTGGCTGGAGCTAGAAGGGGTGGCTGGGATAAATCAGTCCTGCTTTTCCAGCAGTGATCTATCACACACAGCATGCCTGTGTGATGGGAAAATAATACATCTTACCTGATTTGCCAGGGAAGCTCCAAATGAATTATCAGAGCCTGATGCTTGGTTCACATCAGTAGAGCTGGCTCCTGTGAATGCTGTTGCACAGCCTTTAATATCCTGAGTTTCAGCCTGGTTGGGCTTCTGGGTGTTCCAGTTAACAGTGACATGCTCATCTGTTGGCTTGCCTGAACTGATGCTGATGGTGTTTTGCAGCAAAACTGTGCAGTCAGCTTGGAGTGAACATTTCAGTGAACTGGTTAGGAGGTCAAAGACTTTGAGTTTCTTCATCATATCTTGCTAAGTTCAGAAGAGGTAGGGCAGCTTTTTCCTAATAATTTTACTTTTTATTTTGAAATCAATCTTTATGCTGCCATTAACCTGCATCTGGGTCCTTCCCCTTTTATTTTTTTTTTCCTTCTTTTTTTAGCTTTCTGCAGAAGAATTGTGTAGAGATATGGATCAGTCTCACAAGGTTCCCAGTATCTTACCTTTGTTGCAGTACAGACAGAAATAAAAAGAACAGACACTTCCCATAGCCCAAAAAGACACACTAATAAAATACAGCCCGCATTGGGCTGGAGGTGATTGCTGTTTAATAGCATGTATAGACAGTTTAGAGCAGTTTAGAGGAGGAATTGAGAAAGAATACCTTAACCAATTAAAAGTTTCATGGAATTCCAGGTAGGTAGATTGTAATTATTGCTGCTTAACCTTTGCCAGTGCTTAGGGCTTAATGCCTTCATAATTTAAAGACAGGAAAGAAATTAGTAATGCAGTGCACTATTCAGTGTAGTGTTAATTGATGAATGCTTAAAACAGCTCATGAGCAAACCCTTATCCCTGATTTAGTAAAGAGAAATGGGGTTTAAATTGTGCTTTTCTCTGGCCACACAGTTAACCAACAAAACCTGATGTCCAGCTCAGTGTAGGAATTATCAGGGACCCTCCTGTGTGGTTGGCAGTATGTGCAGGATGCAAGTTAAACACTTGCAAATTAGGCACAGAATATTCCTTTTCTCTTACAAATTTCCTTTCCCTTACAAATTTCATTTCTTTTACAGTATTTTCTAGCTGAGCCCTGTCTGTAATCCTCCTTCATGATTTCTTATGCTGTGCAAGTCCTGATGTACAGTGGAGCAGTCTTCTTACTCTGAGGTCCTACAGTTGCAGTTATAATTACTAATTCCAGTGGTATTGTTGGAGATCATCCTACTTTATGCCATATAGTACCATAAATCCTACTCTGGGACATGGTGGGGTTGGAAGTGACCTCTGGAGATCATCTCATGTTTGCCATCCTTGTGTAAAAGGGGTGTACAGAATCACAGAATGGGGTTGGAAGGGACCTCTGGAGATCATCTCCTCCAACCCCCCTGCTCCAGCAGAATCACCCACAGCAGGGTGCCCAGGATGGTGTCCAGGCAGGTTTGGAATCTCTCCAGAGAAGGTGACTCCACAACATCTCTGGATACCCTGGTCCAGGGCTCTGCCACCATGGGAAGTTTCCCACCATGGGAAAGAGGAAAAGAGTGCTTTCATTGATGGAAGATCTTTGAAAACCTCAGAGAGCAGGTGTATTGTATTGTGTATTGTATTTTGGGTAGTAAAACGAGTTAAACAGGAATCCAGTGGTTAAGATATCTGGGCTTCATTCTGCTGCCCCACTGTGCAACGTTTAATAGCCCATTTTGCTACTGCAATGCCTCTTTCATCTGGCAGAACTGATGCTTGCATCAGGCTTCGGTTTAAAAGGTGCAACACACTCTGCAGCTCATAATGAATACTTTCACTCGAGATCTTTTCTCACAAAAGCATTTCACCCCCCTTTGTGTTCATTCTGGTTTGCCATGGGTCCTCAGAAGCACGGGCATCGTGACTCCACTCAGCGACGGCAACGCGTCACTGGGCGAGTGGAAAACACATCAAACACAGCTATAATTTTGCTCTACAGCACAACACTTCAGAGGAGGAAAATTGTCTTTGAGCCACTGCTTCTTTTAAAGTATAGCGTGCTGCAGTGACAAATGTACAGCTTTGATGTTTCCTGCCCCACTCGACCTTGACGTTGTAAATCAGCGTTTTGATTTTTCATACTCTGTCATTATTAAAACCTGTTTTAACTCTGTTGTAGACAATCATACATTAACTCTTGAAAACCATGCACCTTACTCTATTCTCTTCTGTGACAGGGGAATCATTGTATTTGAAAACAAAAGCTACATTCTGGAGCCATTAGAAGGTGCTACAAGTGAACACAAGATCTACCGAGCAGAGACTCTGAAAATAGCCCCAGGATCTTGTGGCCACCAGCTGGACATCTCTGCCATGAGAGCTGATGACAATGACACATCACACCATTTTCAAGCTGGCAGGGTAGGTGGATGAAGCACTTTTATGTTTCTGGTTTACAGGGTACATCTCTGGTGGCGTTTCCATGTCACTCCCTATCATAACTCTTTGATACAAAGAGTTCAGTATTAAACCATGTAGTCAGCCTGTGTTGACACCATGTGCTTAAGTGCATGCTTAAAACTAAGCATATATTTACATGGTTTACTAAAGCTTCATCATTTTTTCTTGATCCTGCATGTATAACTTGCTTTTTACTTTATTTTTGGAAATGTGACAGCACAGAAAGGTTTATGGTTTCCTATTATAGTAATATATTTTGGTTCTTTTATGATAATAACCAGAATTTAAGACCCCATAAGAACACTGAGCAATGCCTGGAAAAGTTTTTGCCCATAGAAGATGGTGGAGAGCATGATAGCTGTGATGCTTGCCTAATATTAGGTTTTGAAGCTTTATATTCTGGTAGGAGAGTATCTTATGAAGACAAAAAAAATGCTCACCCTATTATTTTCCAAATGTATTATCATAGTTTTACATAGGAAGAAAAGCACTTAATATGAAGTGCATCTAGCTAATGGAAAGTGGAAAATTAAACGAGCTAAAAATCAGGAAGAGGAAATACTGTAATAAGTTCATCTGTATATTAGATGAGAATTGTAGAAAAGACAAGTTTAGGTGCTCAGAAATTATAGAATGATACAAATCTGCCCTCAGCATTTATTAAATGTCACATATTTGGATTTGTGCTTGCTTGTACTGCTAAGCCTTTGCATCATGTTAATTGTTAAGGAAAGCAACCTAGACGGCATCCTAGGATAATATTTATGGAGTGGAATTAAGTTATTTTACATTTTAGGGATATTAAATGTTACATCTAATGCATTAGGCTTTGCATATACAATTTTATGGGTTAAGCATATTTCTAAAACTGTGTGGAGGTTGAAAGCACTGGAAAAGTATTTTTCATAACTTTCTTAAGGTTTGCACAAAACCTTTTGTGGCTTTTGACTGAATTTCACTGAACTCATCAATGTAAATAAAACTAGGAAATAAAATGAGTGCATACAAATAGCTGGTACAATCAAAGCAATTTTACTGTTACCCTTATGTTCTTACATTTTGTTGATGGCCTCAACTATGCACCAGAATTCACCTTAAATATCTGAAAAAAATATATTTGCTGTGGTTCAGTGGACATAATTATAAAACCTGTCACCAGGCACATCATATGGAGAGGTACAATGTATGTAATGAGTGTGTTGGATACGCTTCTAATGTATGAATTTTGAAAGCTGTCAAATGTAATGTGTGGAGTGAGTTTTCACATTTCAGTGTTGCCATCAGCTAAGTAGACTGTCAGGACACACTGAGTAAAGGTGACCTGCAAAGTATGGAGACATAAGGCTGCTCCAAATTACTCTGGGTGAGAGAAGTAAGCAGAAATCTAGTCTTGGGTTCAGGGCATGATGGAAAATTTTCATTTCTTGACAGGTTTGGGGAGAGCTTTTTGATTTTTTTTTTATTTTTCCCCTGACTCTTCACTCAACTCCCTACACTAAATTCTTATTGAGTAGAGCTGCAACGTGAGATCAATATATTACAAAGTTAAACTAGCCTTTGGGTTAGGTGTAAATACAGATAAATGATGGGACAAACAGTAGACTCAGCTTCCCAGATCCAAATGTGAGATTTTTTACAGAACAAGTCAGGTTACCTCACAGTTGTGTGCAGACATGTTTTGCCCCATTGGAGCTGGGTCTCTATAAATACTGGGTCATTCCATTAATCAGTGGACCTTCAAATTGCAGCAGGGAGTGTGTTAAGCTCAGTTGAGAGAGGATCCTACAGAAAGCAAGTGTGATGTGTGAGAAAGCCCCTGCAGTGTGGCTTTTTCTCTGTAGCCACACAAAAAAAAGCTCTTTTGGTGGTGCTGGTGGACCACAGATCAGGCAGGTGAGGATCTTTCTTTGATCACAAAGAAAGAAGGGCTGCAACATTGTCGTGTGAATCCCAGCCATGCCAAGTCCCAGGCAGGAGAGCATGAGGAAGGGCTGCAGTGGCATGGGGCAGCAGTTCTGAGATAGGACCACGTGTGGCAGAAGCAGGGGAGAAAGACAACAGCCAGTGGAACAAAGCATATAGTCTCCATCCTCTTTATCATGGCTACATCACTGACTCTTCATTTTCATTCTGAAGGATGCACTCAGGCAGTGGATTGTGCATCGATGCAGTTGGCTGCAGAAGGCAAGCTGAAAGAAGTCACCATGAGGCATATTTTTTAAATAACTGTTGCATCCAAGGAATGCACATAGCTTCTGGGCAAGGCACGGGAATGGATTCGTTATGCCAGGCAGTCACCAGAGGCTTGCATGATTATACCCTGCTAGCCAATTTCACCCAGCTTAACTCTCTCCAGCCCACTTTTACTCTTGGTAGAAAGCAAGATGTTTAAACTGACTGATGCAACAGAGTTCTTCTTCTATCTTTGTACCTGCATTTGCATGTCTCATCTTTTACTCTTCATTTGGAAGACTAGAGGCACCTTGGGGCTACATCTCTGGTCAGGACCATGTAGTATATTTCAGGTTCATGTTAGATTTTTAGAGTCTGACAGATCAGTTCCATCACAACACCCACATGGTCATTTGATATATGGGACATCTCAATCATGCCTCATATATTTTGTAAGGAGGTATATCAAGCTCCACCAGAGTATTGTAGGTTCCACTGAAATCTACTGGGACATGGCAGGTCCTTTTTATTACATCTGCTGCTGTTCTAGAAGCAACAGGAGGGGACATGCTGACACCTTGATGGTTCCCAGCACAAGGCACTGCTGATGACCTGTGTGGCAGACCAGGCATGGGCATGTGCACCAAGTCTGCACATACCCCACGACTCCATGGGGGGGACAGTTGCCTCCAGTAGAGCACAAGAAGATGATGGAGAACCTCAATACCGAAAGAAGTCATAAGAATATCTGCCTGACTTCATTTGAAAGATGATACCAATACCAGAAGTCATAGGAATATCTACCTGAGTTCATTTGCCAGATCCCCTAATAAGTGTAATCCTGTGAAGTGTTTGTATCGTTGACATTTAGTTCATTCATGATAGATTTTAATGGTCTCTTAGCTCATAAATACTGTCCAAATTCAACTTAACTATTTTCCAGTTACTGCAGTTTGAAGATTGTGGAACACTATTAAATGAGTTTGAAAGTCAGAGTTACAGAAGGTTACATCTGTCACTTTTTCTCTAAACACAAAGCTGCTTGCAAAACATTCAAAATCATTAATCTGCAGAAAACAAAGAGGAGTACTGGGAATGTGAAGAAAGCTTTGCAAAATTTTGGCTGGAAGGTGATGTCCAGCATGGCCTTAGCTTAGGGGTTCACACAGTTTGCCTTGAAACCATTTGTTTTGGAAACCTTTAGTCGTGTTTTAGGTTATAAAGCATTGGTTTAGTTCAAGACATCATGGTCATTAGTAGGTCAGACATCTGCTTAAGCTCCTTAAGTTCTGGCATGAAGCTCAGACACACTGCTGAGACCTCTGTTCCCTAACTGCCTCACTCCAGAAACAAGGGAGCAATGAGAGAATAGAAGCTCAGCTGCTGTAAATCACACAACTTTTACAGGCTTTAATAGGTCACTGAAATTTAGGGTAGCAGAGGAGCTGTGCTGTGATTAATGCTATTACAAAATCATTTCATTTTCTTCAGTGAGCTCTTTGCAGCTAAGCATTATGATTCGTTTAGACCTGCATTTAGAACTGCAAGTAGCATGACCAGCTCTTTTATATTAATATACAGATACCAAATTAAGTGTATGCCTTGCATTTTTAGGGTATTAGCTTCCCCAGATACTGACTGTTCATTCGTTTTTTTCCTGCAGTTTTTGTTCTTGGGTTTTTCTTCCTCCATAATTTATCAGTTGACCACTTGATCTCTTCTCTGCTTCACTCAATATCCCTTTATCTCTCATTTTTCTTAGTAGCCAGTTTGTCTATTGTGTGAAATGCTCACTAAAAGTCATCTCATCATTTCTTTAAACGTGCCTTGGAAATAGCAAATGTCTTTCTGCTAGAGATTCTATTCTTCTGTGAGGAAAGACAGCTCAAACATTTCAACTGCAGAAAGCTGAAGGTGATCAGACCCTGGGCTGGTTTTTTGGTTTTGGTTTGGTCTGGGCATTTTTTGTAAGTACCACGTAGACTATTTCTGTTGTAGAAGATACAAGGAAAACATCCATGAGGAAAAGGAATAGAGTAAAAATTAGAATGTAGTAAAATCTTTGGAAGTCAGAGATGTTGTGTATCCCCTCTTACAAGTATTGTGTTGGACTAAGGCAGAGCTGATTCCAAGGGTCACTTATTGCAAAAACCAAAACCCTATTTTCATCTTTTTCTTTGGCAGTACAAGAGGGAGACTTTGAAGACAACAAAGTATGTGGAGCTTGTTATTGTGGCAGATAATCGTGAGGTAAGAAACATAAAACTTTAAAGTTATGGGAGGCATGGATAGGAAACTGGTAGCTCGTGGTACCTCAAGTAATGTGCTGCAGACAGTAGTATGGTGGGTTTCAAAACTAAATCTTCTTCCCCAATTAGGGCTAAGCAATGGAAAGCACTATTAAGATAGGGCAACACTGATATTAAATTGTAAAATTTCTTGCAATGCTTCACAAAGAGATGGACTCTGCAATAACTGGGATATCTGGTAGTAGTTGAAGAAGAGGCAAATAGACAGTAGAATGGTGGATTTCAAAACTGAATCTTCCCCAATTAGGGCTGAGCAATGGAAGGCACTGCTGAGATAGGGCAACACTGATATTAGATTGTAAAATTTCTTGCAGTGCTTCACAAAGAGATGGACTCTGCAATAACTGGGATATCTGGTAGTAGTTGAAGAAGAGGCAAATCTGTATTGACTGCTCAGGATCTCCTTAAGCTAGTTAAGCCTTTATTGCTAATGACTCTGCTCTTGGTGGGACCATCACTGTTTGGAAGACATGGGAGGATCCTGTGCTTGCTTTTGAAGCAATACTTCACTATCACATTGCATGATGCACAACTGCCTTCCTGACAGTTTGCAAAGAGAGCTTCAAAGCAAAGGAACCAGCACTGGCTGTAGAAATGTTCCAGTGAGTTGAATGACAGCCAGAGATCCAAATCTTAGTTTGAATTATTTTGCTACTTGCAGTTTTTTTAGTCTTCTTGAACACTTCTAGCTAGGGAATTGCAATCACTCTGCTGCAAAAGCCAGAACAACTAACAGAGGAGCCTTTTCTTCTTCACAAAACATCAGTCCCTTTGTAAAACGTCAGGAACTTTAAAATCTTTATATGAGAACCAAAACCATGTCCCATAACCTGTGCTCGTTCTTGAGGCAGACCATAGTCCCATGAGGCTACTGGGAGTCTGTCCATGGCCTTTGGTGGCACTGTGTCATTCCCAAATGTCACCAGCAATGCTGGCAGAGTAAGGTGGCCATTTGGGGGGAAACTCTGTGGTATTGGTGCTGCTAGTACATTGATCCTTTACCTTCCAAGTTTCAGAGACAAGGGAAGGACGTGGAGAAAATTAAGCAGCGGCTGATAGAAATTGCAAACTATGTTGATAAGGTAAGAACATGAGCATTATTTCAATTTTTTTCCAAACTAATTACACTTTCTGAAAGGTGTAGCTATGAAATCTGTTTCTTCTACTGGGAAATTAAGAAAGCCACCGTGCTCAGATCAGCAGCTTTCACAACCTTTGCCACAGCTCTTTATCCACCCACCTTTCCAAGGAACTAACTCTGCTGCTTTCATAATACTTTAGTATTTCAGAGTAATGCTTCTCTCCAACCACTGTAACTCACCTTAAACCTTTTGTATGCCCTTCAACACACTAAGCTGTGAGCTCTGCTCTGCCCTATATGGGGTGTATATAGCTGTGGAAGTATTGTTCCTAAGGAGCTGTACAGTTTAGCCCTAGGATTTTATTAACCTGGGAACAGCACATAAAAAAAAGTATTGTTTTGAGGAGGAATTCTGAAAACAAAACCCTTTTTGGCAGCAAGAGATGGCCCAATTGTAAGGCCAACAAAAGACCTGTGAAGACATGGACAATAACATATATAGCCCAAGGAAGAAGGCAGAATTAACAATATGCAGTGCTTAAGGAAGCAGAAGTTGATGGCTCAGTGAGAGCAGTAAAGTTACACACTGGATTTTTTTTTGTCCTTGAAGTAATTTCTTGACAATAAACAATAAACACTAAGAGTCCTCTACAGTGTTTTTTGAGCAAATTAAAGTTTATTTTTATTGTGCAGTATGACCAGGAAAAATTAGGAGTCTAGTAGTGAAATTATAACTGAGGGAGTCTTAATTTAGCTGAGAACTAATCAAGTGATACCTCAAGGGCAATAACTCAGGGAGAAGCATTCTTGATTAAAAACAAGCTGCTGAAGACACCTCCACCTCTTCCATAATTGTCTCGCTGACTTATTACTGGAGGACAGGTGTTTATATGTTACCTGCTCAAAATTAATTTTGCATGTGATAATATATTTATGTTTCATGCTTAATTTATGCTCAGCAAATGCTGATGCTCTCCGAATGACTGTAATGCATACAAACAAGACAAAGATCTAGTGTATGCTTTTCTCAGACTGGCAGCCAAATCTGGACTTGATCGATTCTTGAATCCTCTTCACGTTAGTCTCACATTAGAAGTGTTATCTCTGCTTCATCACTGATGCTGCTCCAGCTTCCCTCGTGTAGCAACTGTGGCATTTACCTGGGGGATAATGGTGTAATCAGCCCACAGTGCTAAAATCACTTGCTTCTAGCTGCTGTGAGCAAGACGTGATGACTCTGGCTACATTATCAGCTACTGTTTTGAACCACAGGGCTGCCTCTGCCTCCTGGTTTACACTGGGGCTAGTGGCAGAGGGCAGCCCTGGAGTCAACGTCCTCCCAGCAGAGGTGCTCCAGCCCTTTGATCATGTTTTTGGCCTCCTCTGAACTCATTCCAACAGGTCCATGACTTTCTTCTGCTGTGAACACTGCTCTGAAGGACATGGGAAGGTAGTTGCAGTGTTTCATCTCGAAGGAAGATACCAAACTTGGGTGGGACATAAAGAGGTAGCATATCTCTGGATCTCTTTGAATGCCTCATGGGTATTTAGTCAGGTTAGAACTGTTTTCTGTCATTTATGAAATATTTTCCCTGAGTCAGTCCTGTCAGGTGTTCACTTTTGCCCTGGAGAAGAGACCATTCAAGCCTCTACAGGAGAGGCTCATATGCACATTCTGCTTCTGTTGAAATATTCTAATCCAATGTGGTTTTAGATGGGTTTCTATTTTTCTCTTCTCATTAGTTCTATAGGCCACTAAACATTCGAGTAGCCCTGGTCGGAGTGGAAGTATGGAATGACATGGATAAGTGCTCTATTTCCCAGGACCCTTTCACCAGCCTCCATGAGTTTCTGGACTGGAGGAAGCTGAAACTACTACCTCGAAAACCCCACGACAATGCACAGCTGATAAGGTAGCCTTGACACTTCCCTCTGGGATTCTAGTGCTGGGAGAATAGCTGCACTGAATTCTTCCCCTGTTGCTAAGCTGTTGGGAACATCTGTGCTCCTGAGGGTTTGTCTTTCCCCTCTTGCAAACATCAAACACAAAAATGCTTTGCAAGACCCCTCAGCAGATGCTTCAGATGATTTTCCTTCCACAGCTCTGCAGTAGCCCTGTTACTCGTACACCTTTCCTGAATGCAACTCATGTAGAAATGTAGGTGTGTGATAAGCTGGTAAATACTTAGGGTATGAATTTACAACCAGTTTAAGCTGGTCTCAGTCTAAATTGTTTCTGAAAAAAGGCAGTCCTGCCCTCATCCCAAACCTCGAGCTAAGGGAGCACTATGTGCACCCTGTTTGTTAGTGGAGAGATCTCAATAAACTCTAAAATGCAGTCTAAATTGAACAATTCATTTGCATTTGTGTCTTAAATCATACACCTTTATTACCCTGCTGCTTTTTCCTGGATTAAAAGAATTGAGTAGACATGTTCAAAGTAAAAGTATTCTTAAAAAGACATTAGAGAAACACTTTTTTTCTTGAACCAGGTACCATTTTGATCAATGAACCATTCTTTATACTGTACAGATAACCATACCTGATGTCTTAGTAATTAAAAGGAGCTTTTTCCTTGTGATGTAGATATTCTTACATTATCTGTGTAAGATAGAGAGAGCCCTTCCAAACTGTCTCTCCTGAGATATTTGATTATCCTCTATGTCTAATGATGCCTTGTTTGAAATGATTGCATTCTAGGCTGTGTATTATAACAAGTAGCATATAAACTTCCCACTTCATTCAAATACCCCTTCCTTGAGCTGGAAACATTATTTGTATGTTTGTCTTTCTATTCCCAACTTCAATCTGGGAAAAGAGAAAGGAGAGAAGGGTCCTGTTACAGCAGTAAACCCAAAGGACAGGGATCAAATGGACCTTTCTCATAGCAGGGATGCTGTCGTTGCCAGCTCAGCACCTCGGCGTGGTTAATCTGGGCTTTCCATTGTTTTAAACCTGAAAGTGCCTGGAGCTGCCACATTTGAAACAGGACCTTTGTTTGGGATTGGCAGGAACACAAGACTGAAAAGAATAGGGCGGTGTCTTGGCACTGAATGGTGATTCTGTGATTCTTCTTCTCCCTTCCCACCCTCCTGCAGCGGGGTGTACTTCCAAGGGACCACCATTGGCATGGCGCCCATCATGAGCATGTGCACTGCAGAGCAGTCTGGAGGGGTCGTCATGGTAAGTGCTGAAAGCACAGGACCTGAAACTGGCCCAACTGCTGCGACACAATCTCAAGTGTTGTGGTTCTGTCTTCTGTAACAGAACGTCAGCCCCATCTGTCCTGTTTTCAGCCCCAATATTAGCTATGTCTTACTATCAGCTATGTCTGCATGCATGTTGCTTGTGAATTATAGTTCCCATAGTGAAAAAAAGTCAAAATATTGCATTAAAATATAGCATGATCTCTTTGCAAGAGTCCTCTACTGCTAATTATCATGAAATGGAGGTGCTGTGAAGGATAAGAATATATTTGTTATACACTTGGGTATACTAGTGTTACAGGCAACGACAGTCTACCCTGAATCTTTTATTATATTGATTTTATTCTGTATTTACAGAGTATCCTGTGTAAGGCCTTATTTTCCATCTTTGCAGCACAGTGGGTTTTATTACGTTGCCAGACGAGAACAAACAGTGGCAGCATTTGTTCTACCTGAGCCTCTCTCAAAGATATAGTACTGGTAATACTGTTGTTAGATGCTAGACGTGGTGAACACACAAGTAAACATCTTCACCAATTTCAGAAAGTAGTTCTGGAATACTTTTTTGGAGGATTTTTTAAAAAATTATTTTTAATTGTTTTGTGCAGAAGCTGGGGGGGAAATATTTTGCATTAATCAAGCTTTGTAATAGGAGTCCTTTAAATGAAATTAGATGTGGACTCCGAGAGCTTGTAGGCCACTAGCAGGCTCAGCTGGTGGATCTCAGAGCTCAGCTCCAGAGCAGAAAGCCAGGGAGTCCTAAAACCCCCTTAGATATTCCCTGAGTTCAGCCTGCATGTGCTTGAAAACCTGTGTGCTTCCTACAGTCTTGTCCATACTTCTAGCACCTTGGGTGATGTGTTGGTTCTCTCCAGCTCTGCTGGACACCTTGGGTGCAGAGATCTACATAAATGAAGTGGGAGCTGGGGAATGCACAATACTGAGAGTTTGCATGGTCTCAAAGCTCTGAGTTCTTCAAAGCTTCATGGAGCTAACCAGGAGTCTTGGACACTAAGGCTTTTGCTTCAAGACAATCCATGCACTAGGATAACCCCAGAGATACAGCCCGTTGAAGCCCCAGCATTTCCTTCCTTCTTAACTAGGATGCAAGGTGAGGTTGGTCCACAATGCAGGGCTCCCTTGTGGTCTCTTAGAAGAGTAGGCAAGAAGCCAAGCTGGGGTGATGTGGGCATTCATGGAAGATGATGTATAGATGGTTCAGACTGGGAGGATTTATGAGGTGAGCAGCAAAGCTGAGATACTGATATACTGAAGAGTGGAAAGAACCATCAGAGCATGTAATCTGGAGAAAGTCATGTCCAAATTGTAAAAAAAAACCCAAAGGCTTCAGTCTCTTAGTAGCTTTAGAAGCTGAGTCTCTAATTGGTGTTTGTTACAGCTTTCCACTGGGTACTTGGAGCTAAGTACAAAAGGAAAGGGAGGAAAAGAGGAAGAAAAGCTGAAAGAGTCTCCCAGTGCACTTCCAAACCTTGGCAAAAGCCTGTCTGAGGCAGACAGCCCCATTGTATCCATGTCACCCTCAGGCCAGCAGCTGAAGCTTTGGCTTTATCTGCACTCAGAGATGCCCTTAATGATGACTTTTTTGTCCCTTTGATTTTTAGCCTAAGCTTTAAAGCTTGCTGCAGTGTGTTTTACTGCAAAGTCAGTCCTCTTTGCTCTGGAAGCTGTCATTTTAAACAGAAACAACAACAACTATCTCATTCCAGTAACAAGAAAACAAGAATCAGCATTATTTCTTTAAAGTGCTCTCAGGGCTCTGACAGAGGAGAGACTGATTTATATCTCCAGGAGAAACCCAGGGCCTGTGTATGGATCGTGGGCCAGGCAGCAGCTTCAGCCAAGGAGGGGAGCATGATGTTTCCCAGGGGCTCCCACCTCCATAAATTGAGACCTTCGAGGTGCAAATGAACTTGAGGCTTGCACAGCAGAGCTGGAAATGTGTATCAGTTCTTTAAGCAGCTTGCCAAAACGGAGCCAAATCCAAACCAAGCAAACGCTCACCCCCAAAGCCCCAACAGGGAGCTGCCCAACCTTCCCCCTAGATAACAAAGGCTAATTCAGGTGTATACAGGAAAAGTTCTTATATATACTGGTACCTACAGAAGAAAGCTCTACATTTGGAAGATTTGTAAATGAAAGAATGAATAACTCTTCTCCTGAGAGGCTACAGTGCTCAACCATCTCAACACTGGGCAACTGAACATTCGGCCACCCTTATAACTCAGCCAACCTCTTACACATCCCACTCTGAACACTCAAGACCAAAAAGCTCCCACACTCCCAAAACTGTTCAGAGAGAGTAGGCAACGGTGAGATTGCTTGAGAAATAACATTTGACTGTGAAATCTGGAGTCATCCCTGCATGATCTGATTTTCCTGACTGGTTTTGCAGTTACTTAGCTCTATTGTAGGATCTAAATTCCTCTGTCATGCCTCCTGGAGAGCCTGCCCCTCTCCCCTCTTCTGTAGGGCTGAATTCTCTCAGTGGTAGGTGACACCCTGCCTCCCACTAATTTTAAGAGAAATTCCAAGTGGGGAGAGTGGGCATCTGAGTGTGAGAAGCTTTTGCTGTGTTTCAAGAGCATTATAATTGTATTTTACTGTGATGGTCCTGTTGTGTTGTAGAAAGACCTAAGAAAAATGGACATTAAAGCCAGTCTTTGGCACAGGGCTTAGTCTTCATTCTGTTTCAAAAGATTGCCCACCAAATTTACAGGCTTAAAAGCAAAATATTGCTATGTGGGTGTCATGTAATGTAGTATTCTCACTCCTGTAAAATTTGTATTGACTTGAGTGGGAAGTCAGGCTAGATGACAAGCATGGAACTGAGGCACTTACATTTCAGTGAATTGCTTAAATGAAATCAAAGTATGTTTTAGGAAAGTTATTCCTACAGCTGAGTGAAACTGCATGGAAGGTACCAGGATTGGGGCATTTGCCTCTTCTAGCTGTAGGTGACAGCATTTTATTATTACAAGCTGGTCTGAATCTCAGTGGAATGAAGCAGAGTTCAGCTGAAAGCAGCTGCATGGTTTGTGCAACAGCTTATAATGTCTTAACAGTAGATGGTTGCTTATTCAGTGGTTGTGAAACTGTTTGGTAATGACTTTTACTGCTCAACTTAACTTTAAAAGACCCCTGGTGGAATAAATCAAAGTCACACTGCTATTCATTTCTTTATCCTTGTGATACTTAAATGGTCTCAGTATCAAATGGGACATGTCGCTGTTTGTTTTGATAATCTTCATTTATGCTGTCTTCAAATAACCTCTTTTGCTGAGACATCACATTCCTGGTTTTAAAAACCCTCTCTAGAAACTGATAAAACTGCATTCCAAGTGGATCTGAGCAACTAATGAGAACCTCATGGGCTGTAATAATTGTTTGCCTCTTCAAGACCCAAAAAAAATTACATTTGAGATCATTTATTGCTCCAGTTCAGGAGCAGACTGTGTGAATTCTTGTTTTTATTTTTAATTGCCAGCTTTAGAGTTGTCCAGCTCAATATGATCTCTGTTCAGTAAGCAGAGGAGATGCTGGCCAAATAAAGAAAAACTGAGCTCAGTTTGTTGTCTGTCCAGGTAGCTCTTGATTATTGCAGATGATTTTGCTGCATAGGTTTGCTCTGTTATTTCTGTGAGTGGGATGGGTTGTGCAGCTTCTCTCAGCACATGGGCACCTTAGCATATAACTGCACACAAAGTGGCTGTCAAGTTAGTCACAAGATTTTTCTATTAACATTTTAAAATTCAAAGAGGTCTTTTGTTAAAAGATAAAATGCTTTTGACTTTATTCCAAATGCAGGAGGAGTAGTGGCTTGTTTTCAGGATGACTGTATTCCCTTTTTGATTTTGTTCTCTGTTTGGGAAATGATTTCCTGAGAATATTAGCACAGACAGATGAAAGAAGAAGCTCTTCAGTCTACCCCAAGTCACGTATTAAGGGCTTCATTAGTATATAGCTAATGTTTTAGACAGTTTTACCTTTCACTTCTTTTTAGTCTGAAGGTTGGCTTAGATGATACTAAAAGAGTTATTTAAACTGAATATATTCATATATGCTTTTAGAGCAGGCAGCTGTACATAGTAATTCCATTTACTGACTGATAAATACTGGATCATGCATTTATATTACATGTTAATGCCTTTAGGGAAAGCTTTCATATAAGTACAGTGGATTTTTTTTCCCCTCAAGGAAAATGATCGATGTGGAAAGGTCTCTTATTTGTGGCTAAACCAAAACAGCAGTCTGATCAGCAGCCTGTAATCAGATCATGCAGTGAATTTCTCAGAAATAATTGTCCCAAAAATCAGCATTTCAATGAGGATTAATGTTCATATTTCAGTTTGACACTTGTGACATTTAAAATAGTCTCAGGTGCTAATAAGAGGCCATTGAAGAGTTTGACTTGTTTTGTCCTTTCATTATGAAAAGGAGGTTCTCAAAGGTACTTGTTTTTTCTTACAAGGCTCGTGAAATCTTGGACTTACTGATATTAAAGAAACAGTCTGAAGAATACTAAATAGACTAAGTGACATCTCTTGCTGCATTTGGAATTTACTTCCTGACATGAAGGATTTTCTCACTTCTCCTTCATCACACTCATCCTCACCCATAAATGATTACCCTTCCCAACACTCCACGTCTGGAGGACTCTTTTCTGCCACTGCCATGTCTTGGGATTTTGAAGGATTTATTGAGCAGGGGAATTTTAAGCCCTAAGTAAAGATTGCCCAGATGTTCAAAGCTGCCCAGTGGTCTCAAATGTCTAATGGGCTGGGTAAACTGGGTGGCCAAGACAGATGGGCTGTCCTGAAATTCCCAGTGTGTACTTGGTACATGGGGATGAATTTAAAATTATGTCCATTTAGCAACAGGGTGTAGCCACAGCTGGTAAGTTTATAAAACATTTCAAAGGACAGGCTATAGGATCTTAGAGGGGGAAAGTGTATTTGGAATTGTTTTTCTGTGTTGACTGGTTCTTTTGGTTTATTTAAGGATCACTCAGAAAACCCTCTAGGTGCAGCAGTCACGCTGGCTCATGAGCTGGGACACAATTTTGGAATGAATCATGACACATTGGAGAGGGGCTGTAACTGCAAAGCATCTACTGATAAAGGGGGCTGCATCATGAACCCCTCCACTGGGTAAGTGCAAGGGTAAGCACTGACAAATTACAGTTATAGTGGCAAATTTGTGTCTCAATTTCATTTTGTGTCTCAGAAACGTTTAAAGGGAAAAAAGAAAAACCTTTTCAACACCTGTCAAATGTTCTTACAGTTATCCCCCTTAAGCTAAAACAATTAAACTCGTTATCAGAGCACAACATGTACCATTGTATCTGTCTCTTTAATTCAAAAAACAAAACAAAACCAAACCCTGCCTTGCAAGTATTGAATCAGAATTTCACCTTCTCTCATCTTGCCAACTGAATGTCAGTCGTAATAGGAAATGAGCAGTGTCCCAAGGCCAAGACTAAGATGAATGTGTAGGAAATAAAGTAAAGCAGGAAATATATTATTAGACTCTCTCTAAAGCCTTTGTCTTGTGCAGAGAAGGTTTTTTTAAGATTTGCACAAACTCTTGCATTTCACCCCTTGTTACGAGTCCACAGCAGTTATAGCATGTGGGCAAATTAAATCTGTAAGGGCAGTGGGGTCAGGGCTGTTCAGGGGCTGGGGGAGATCTTCCAGGAAAAGACAGAAGACACTGTGGGAAATAAAGGCAATGAACCCGTGGTCATCTCTCTGAGTCAGTGCTGAGCAGTTACTCTGCTGCTGGTAAAGGCACCATGTCAGCAGAGAAGCACAGCTCTTGTACAGACAAAAACCATGGCCAGGCCAGCCTGCTCCAGCTTGCTTCTCTGTATTTTAAAGTGTGAGTTCTCCATGTGCATATTCAGACAAGAACTGAAAGGTTTAAACTGAAGAGAGAGTAGGTTAACCAAAGCTTTCAGATGGTGAGCAATGTGTTGGACTGGGCTGCCTGCAGAAATGTGCCTGTGAGTGGAAGCTGGTAGGAACCAGTTGGACAAATATCTGTCAGCAGTGTCTTGTAGGTTCAGCTGGGTTTGCTTTAGGGCAAGAAGATGGTCTAGATGATCATCTGTTCATCTTCCCTCTCTTCCAGCTCCAGTATTCTCTGTGTATGCTTAAATTTCATCTGTTGCTTAAAAAAATCTCTTTGGGGAATTATGATCAGCTCAATCTCTGCCTTCTCCAAGACTGTTTCTGGGAAAGAAGGGGAGCAATGTGGGAGAGGCTGGGGAGTGTTGGGCAGGATTGCTCCCTGCTGGTCAGCCTAACAGCAGCCTTGGCATTTCTTCAAAGGCATGCTGTCACCCTCCTTCAAGGCAGAAAAAGGGATTCTGGCCAGAGGCCAAGCACAGCAAGTTCAGAGACAAACAAAAGAGAGTTGTGTATGTGGAAAAGAGAATGAGAGGGATTTCTACAGTTTGGAAAATAAAAATAACTTGGCTTTTGTAAAACAATAGGTAGTAAATATCCATATGGAACTGCATTCTGCAGCACATCAGGGCTCATGCACACTGTGAAAACAGACTGAAGTTGGAAACACAGCTCTAAGGTGAGGTGATGTGATAGCTGGCAAGCAGTGGGCAGACAGGTCTGAGCTCTGAGCTGCTGAAAGGTGCACGTGAGCCTTTGTCACCTCAGCTGTGTTACTGGCTGGGCATCCAGTTACCCCACTTCTGGAAATAAGTACAGGAGATGCTCCCAGGACAGAAATTTCTAGGCATATTCTGAATTCATCTTGTGAAGGTATCTCTAATGTGGAGATGAGAGAGTTCTTCCCTGGCTCTGCCTTCTGTACGAGAGTCCTTTGGTTGTATCTGAAGCTGTTCTCTGGGCTGGGTGTGTCAATCATAGAGTCACAGAATGGGTTGGGTTGGAAGGGGCCTTAAAGATCACCTAGTTCCAACCCACACCTCCTACTAGAGCAGGTTGCTCAGACTCCCATCCAACCTGCCCTTGAACACCTCCAGAGATGGAGCATCCACAACTTCCCTGGGCAACCTGTGCCAGGGTCTCACCACCCTCAGAGTGAAGAATTTCTTCCTAATTTCTTCCTGATATCTAATCTCAATCTACCTTCTTTCAGTCCAGACTCTTGGGTTGGCTCAGGGCATGGACAGAGCAAGGTTGTACCTGCTCAGTCTTTTCCTCAGGTACAAGTCCAAGCAACTCAGTTCACTTTATGTTGGGATTTCTGTAGGCATCTTACAATTTAAAGGCTGTGGTTCCTTCCACAACATCATGCCCAGCTCCAGCACCAGGTCTGACAGTTTGGGAAGGGGCCATCCAGATACACTTCAGTTTTGCAATCAGATAAACCTTCAGTTTATGCTCACTTTGCATTTTTACCAAACTTTATATAGAAGCTGTGACTGAAGAAGAGCCACAGAACTGAGCAGGCTGGTTTGTGTGCTGTGATTATTGATTTATAAATGGAAATTTTAACATCAAGTTTATAGCCTTAGGCTTCACCTTCACACCCTGCTGTCGATCTGTAATAAGTATTCCAGAAGAATTATTTATGCCTTAAGCCAAACTGCATTTTACCAATTTAAAATTAACACATTGAGTATTTACCCAACATGTGACCAATGGCAGTATTCCTCTGAGCACCATTATTCAAGGAAAACTAAAGAGTTTTTGGCTCTGGAACTACAAGTCTGTTAAGAGAAGGCCAAATGAATATTCCCTACCCAAAATGCGTTCTTAGAATAACAAAATCTTTGAAACAAAGAGCATCCCATGGAAGCCACGTGAATTTAGAGAGACCACCTGCTCTCTCAGTATACTCATTGGCACGCTGCACTCTTCTAATTCCTGTTAGTTTAAGGTAGATTTTAAGAGTGCAAGACAAATAAAATCTTTAAACTGAAGATATTATAAGTACAAGAGAAATCCTTATCTGATATCTAAAACCAGTAGGAAATGTCTTGGTTATAAGAGAAAGGCCTCTGTAAACTTCACTTTGGAGTCATCTGTGTGATTGTACAGCAAAAGGGAATGTTTTAATGGTTTTTACTTACAAGTGATTTCTTTAATTATTGCCGTTTCTTTCAATTCTTATGTTTCAGCCTTCAAAGAGATCTTCTTGGTCCAATTACTCTGAAGGGATCAGGGTGGAATTTAAAGTCTGTTGGAGCTATCTTTTAATGAGCTTCCCATAGCTTCTACTCTTTAAAAGATACCACAAGATGTGTAGCACTTGTGTGTGACTACAAATGCCCTATAGACCCATTACTTCAGCAAAAGTATATTTTGTATAACATGGAATTGAACATATAAACCCCAACATTTCTGGCACTCCAGGCCTTTTACAGATTCAAATATCTGCTATGGAAATCACATAAATCCCACTGTAGAAGTCTGAGGTTTTGCTATTAAAATACTATCAAAAAGCAATTATTTAATGCTAACACATTGCTGCCTTTTTAATGCATATATTATAATGATATTCCTCCTGTTCTTTTAGATTGTATTGACCATAGACTGTTGCAAGTGAAAAAGGATATAAGGAGTCTTAAAGAGATTTGCAAATCTTTTTACTGAGCTCTTAATATCTGAAAACTGAGGGCCTAGGCTGAGCCAAAGAGACCATTTCAGTATTCCACTTGTTTTCCCAGTATCTCCCTAAAGTTTCCACTCTTAGGAGTGAAAATATTCTTCTTGACAGCTAGATAAACACAGAAGAGTTCTGGTGAAACCCAAGGCATTACTCTAGATTTATACCACTGCAACTAAAGGCAGAATTTAGCACAAACTGCAGAGCAAAATTATGCCAATTAGCAACGTTTTCATTTAGTAATTTTGGAAATGTGCTTTTTACATGCACCTTCATCAAAACTGAGCACCTGTATCTCCATGAGGGTTGGAATCAGGCGAGTGCCCCCAAAGTACTTGAAAGCTTCAGAGTTAATATATGCTTGAAATTTCTTGCCAGCCTTAAGGGAAGGAAAATTTCTATAGTGAACCTTCCCCCCTCCTGTAAACCCAAGGTTTTTACTTCCCCTCACCCACATGTCTGTGTCCTTGCCAGTAGCATGCTCTTTTGGTTTATCTATAGGTGACTTACACAACTAACTTGTCATCAGGGAAGCTGAGGATACTGTAAACATCTTCTTGCCTTTAACAGAAAATGCTCCTTGATGCCTTTCCATTTCCCCCACCCTGATTTTGGTGTTGATGAGAGATGAGGAACCCACTAAGGACAGCTGCTTTTACTAAACTCATTCAGATGCTGATCCTACTGTAGTCTCCATCCCTTTGTGGGGTCCCAAAACTTGCTATAATGAAAACTTTGTTCCTTGTCCTCTCACAAAAATGTGCTTCTCTTACTAGGATCATTTCTGGATGCTGAATCATCCCAGCCATGGTTAACTGAAATTCCAAGCATGTTCCTAGGATAGAGCCACTTGTTTCAACTTTCTTTGCACTGCTATAGACAGAAAGAGGTTATCACCACCATGCTGACAAAAAAAAGAGAGGATGGTGGAAAAAGGACTGCTTTGTAGTCTCTCCTCTGGTCCCCTTTGCACCTGGCTATGGGAATGATAGAGATTTTTCTCTAAGACCATGAAGAGAAGATGAAATAAATGCAAAACAATTTGAAATAACAAATCCTTAGAGAACTCTTGTTGTTTCAAGATGTGAAACAAGTGGTGTATATTTGAGAGGCCCAAAACCTGATGTGTGAGAGAGCACGAGCATTGCTATTTGCTCAACAAGCTGCTGAATGAAAGATTATCTCTTCAGAAACTTGTATTTCAAACTTGGTCCCTAGTGAACCTGTTTCTTCTCCATTCCAAGAGTTCTAAAGCATACACTGTCCTGCATCCCAGTGATGGCACCAAGTGTTAGGGACAGAAAAACAGTTTGGTGCTATGGAGGAAAGTCTGGGCCAGTAACATGAACAAGAAAACAGCTTCTCCATGATAATTCTTCTGAACAACTCCTCTTTGTCATGTTCCTTTTAGTGTGGTGCTCCTTTTGAAAAGTCAAAGAATGAATTGGATCCCTCTGTGCCTGCCTTTTATTTTTTTTTTAAACTACTCTTATCTTGGATCTTCTGTTACCATTTCCATTTCACAGCTAGAATTTAAAGTCAGTGTATCTTTCTG